GCCTCTGCCCTGCTCCAGTCTGGACCATGGCCTTCACCCTGGGCCTCTTTCCTCCGCCTTTCTCTGGTGCCGTCCACCCCAGGGTTCCTTCTTTTTGACTTACTCCTGTGTTTTGGTGACACACACCATTCCCTGGCTTTCTGAGAAAGGGTGCAGAGGAGGCAAATTTCTGAGAGCCTTGTATATCTGAAAATGTCTTCATTTCATTCTCAGACTTAACTGATACTCTGTCTGGTTTGGGATCCTGGTCTTGTTTGGAGAATTCTCATCTGGAGATCATTTTTCTTTAGAAATGTGAAGTCTGTTCCATGGCCCACTAGCTTCCAATGTTTCTGTGAAAAAGTCGAAATCACTCAGATTTCTGATTGTTTTATATTTGACCTCTTTCTCTCTCTCTGGAAGCTCCATAGTATCACCTCCTGCCCCCGGTGTTCTGAAATTTCACCATAACATGCCTGAGTGCAAGTCTATTTTCAAGCACTTTGCTAGGGACAGTGGGCCCTTGGTCTAGAAATTTGTGTCCGTCGATTGTGGGAAATTTTTTAATGATTTCTTAACGATAACTTCTTTTCTTTTCCTTCATTTTCTGTCTCCTTTACCGCTTCCTTCTTTTTCTTTAGTTCTCTCTTTCTGAAGCTATTATTATTTGAATTGGTAGACTGATTTTCTATTTTCTCTCCTATTTTCATTTCTCTGTCTTTTCCTGCCTGTTTCAAACCTTCCTCAGTTTATCTCCCAGCCCTGCAGGAAGACATTTTTGGTACAGCATGACATTCTTGTCTCATGGGTCCAATATCTTGTTTTATCTCTCTTACGGTGTTAATTATAGGATGGTTTTTCAAGAGTTTTTCTCTGCAAATGGTCTGTGTTTGATTCAGAGTTCTGTTTCTTTGTTAATTGACTGATTTGGTCTGTGTCTTGAATGCTAGAGACATTCTCAGCTATCTGGGGATTTTTGGCCACCTGCTTATTTTTAAAAGCAGGCGACTAAAACTCTTAGTTGTAGAGGGATCTGAGAAGGGAGCCAAAGCGGCACGTGTGTTTAATCCACCACCTTCACCCAGTTATGCATTTATCTTATAACATTAAAAAGTAAAAAGCCCACTATGGTACAAATCCACACCCTAATGAAAAATAAATAAGAATAATAACCCATCCCAAAACGCCATCTTTTCCTTCTTAGCCCCTAAAGAGGAAGAGGGAACTATTTCTTTCCCAAAATTCTCAATTGTAAAAAATAGCATGAAATTCATATGTGAGTTTGTGACAAGTGCAAACCTAAAAAAATTGTGAATAGGTTTGAATATAATTTCTCCCTTCCCCCACCCCCAGTGTGAGTCACCAGGCCCGCTCATCACTTCCTGCGTGGTGAGTTGCATGCGTGTCTCATCTCTATGACGATGCTCCAAGGCACAGGAGTGGCGGGTGTCTGTCCGATTCATCTCAGCATCTTCTAGAGCCCCTGCCAGAGGACAGATGGTTGGAGTCTGACAAATGGTGAATGAGTGCCATCCCCAGGAGCTGCTGGTCTTCTCCTCAGCACACACAATTAGTGCGAGTTCCGGATTTTATATGAAAAAGAAACCCAAAAGAACACTAAGAGAATTTAGACAAAAACACAGCAGTAAATCAAACATCAACTTTAAAAGGAGACAGATTACTTGCTGCTGCATGCTTAATTCTGCTTTGAGCTCTAATCTCCATGGATGAATAGAGTGGTCCATGGTCCTGAGGGCAGCCAAGCCAGGGAACAATTGCTTAAGCCTCAGGGTTTGCAAGGAAAGGGCTGTGGAACACATGGGCAGAGCAGAGTCAATGAGGTACATGGGGGATAGGCTGCAACTACATCCAAACCCCGTGGTTCAGCATTCAAGGCTCGCCACTGCTTCAACTTGGGCACCTGCAAACCCTCTAGTGGTCTCACCCTTCGGGGCTTGCTCTCTGCAACCAGTCTCGCATGCACCTGCTAGAGGAATCATCTCAGATACCATATGTCTGGTGTCCCTTCTTTGTCCACCAACTTAGAGTAGGCTCCTCTCATCCCTATATCAAGTAGATCAAATAGTTCTCTGGCCTAAACTTCAAGACATTGTTATCACTCCCTGTGGGGACTCTCTCCCCACGACATCGTAAATCCCCACCCTGTGTTTTTCTGTAGACTATTTCTCAGACTGAGAGCACCTGCCCCTCTCAGCACGCACTGCCGATACTTGGCGCACCTACTCCGGGCCGAGCACTGTGCGTTATTTTTCTTAATCTTCTATCAGCAGATAGGGAAAGTGGGTCACAGAGAGGTTAAGTCCCATGCCCACAGCCTTAAGGTAGAGCTGGGCTTAAAGGCAGTCAAGCCAAGTCCTAGACCACCGGCTTACCTGCTCCCTGTCTGCTGCCCCAACCTTACCACCCCACCTAAGACATCTTCCAAGAAATGCGTTCCAATGAACTGATGTCTGACCCTGACTCCATAGCATGTGTTTTCATGGTGACGGCTTATAGCATGGAGCTTTCTTTAAGTCTCCCCCTTCGGGGCCCACACACTCAGCTGTACTGAGTCTTGTTGTTTCACAGGCTCCAAAGTCCATCCGTCAGCTGCCCTTTCTCCTAGCCAAGAGCATGCCTGGAGTAGCGGAGAGTAAGGCGGCCTGAGGGCCTGGCAGAGTCCCGGGCTGTGGGGAATGGCAGCTGCCCCTCTAAACTACTTCAAAGCTGGGATGGGGCTGGCGCACTGGGTCAGGGGAAGGGTGCACTTCACCTTAGAGTTCAAAGTTGGGCACCACCTGTCTACGTTGCTCCAATGAGACCACAGGAGTAGACGTGGCCCCAGCCCTGGCCCCAGGGAAATGAGGCAATCGGCAGGAGAAGCCGCCAGGGACGGGGAGTGAGAGAGGCAGGTAAGGTGTCCAGCCAGCAAGCCCTGGGGAGGGGAATGACTGCTTGTCAGATGTCCCTGGAGTTCCAGGCATCCATGCCCTGTGTTAAGGCTAATGCCACCCCCCTATGGTTGCTGGTAGGAGACTCAAGTTGGGACTGGAAAGCCCACTGAAGACGTGCTCACTGGCATCTGCTGGGGCCGGGCTCACGAGGGCAGTGAAGGCTGCACCTGCACCTCCTCCTGGTTGTGCACACCTGCTTTCCATCTGGCTGTCCCACCTGTGTGTTTCATATTTTCAAACATCCTGCTCACCAGCTGCAGACTAGGCTTCCCAGCAGGCCGTGTCATTTTGTCATTCACCTGCTTAGGACCAAATCTCTAAGACCAAATCCAAACCTCACATCCTGGAACTCCAGGCCTTCCAAATTTGGCCTGCTGGTCTCTGAAGCCACTTCATCGCCTGATACTGGAGCCCAGGTGCCCTCCTCTTGCTAAACTTCCTCATCAGTCCCCAAGGCACACAGCAGTGGCTTCCGCCTCTCTGATACTAAGTGAGCACTTCCCGTGTGCTCTTGGGCGAAGTCTCTGTGCTCCCAGCTGCCTGGACGTTGGGAGAATTCGAGTTTCTATGTACAACATACCAGCTTCACGGCAGGCTGTGCCGTGTGACCCCCACCTGGACAGCAGGAATCAATAAATGGTGTCCGTCACTCTGCCTTGTGCCCACTGTCTTCTTCATGACCAGGAGAGCTTCTGCCGCCTCCAGACCCGTCCCCAGACGCCCCTGTACCTGCAGCCGTCCCCACACACCGACTAGAGGAGAGGGGAGGGAGAGCAACATTTGCCAACTGCCCATTGGGCCCCAGACCCTGCGGGGGTGGGGAGAGCACTGAGGGTAGTAGCCAACACTCTGGGGGCCCCCCGGGCCGACCCCACCCCTGGCACTTCATCCACATTGAGTTGTGTAAGCTTCTTAGTGACTGGGTCTGCGGACGAGGGCTCCTGAGGGGCTGTCTGCTCTGTCCAACCAGAATGGTTTGGTCTCCCAGACCCACGGCGACTTTCCCATCATGATCCCCTGAGGCTGATGGGGAGATTTTATCAAGGGGTGATGTTGATGCAGGACAAAACACTGAGTCCCTTGCGTGTCATCCAAGCTGGTTCGGTTAGAGAACATTCTGGGAAATGCCCGCCCGCCCTGCCGCCCCGCTGCGGCCCTCGGCCGGGGTCTGGGCTCTCATCAGGTGTCGCCGTGCCTGCCTGGAGAACAGAAGCCTCTGGCTGACCCTCCAACGTTTGGGACAAAGGACACTGTACTTTTCTTCCTGTCCCCACGGTGCCTCCGATTCATTAACTGACCTTTCTGCAAATGTTTGCATCCTCCGTGGACCCCCGGCCTGGGCTGAGCGCCCTGAGGCGGGGCATATCAGCACCCGCAAGGAGCCCGGCACACAGAGGGCCTTGGTGTGCAGGGAGAAGGGAGGGAGGGGAAGGATGGGGTGGAATGGGCATCGGGCAGAGAGAATGGTGGCGATGCGTTTTCAGCTGGCTCCTCCCAGGGCGTGGCAGCCACAAGGCCTCAGAGGTGTAGACGGTCTCTCTGCGGAGAGCCCAGAACCGCCCCAGGAAACAGCTCCACAGGAACCTGCCTGGCCCCACTCCATATGCCGGGAGGTGCCAGTCTTGGAGATCCATCAACCTTCAGGAAATTGCTAACTGTATTTGGTGATTTTTTTTTACATTTTCCCTGTTTGGGAGCTTGTGATTTTAGATTAATCACATCTACATACATTTAGACTGTCAGCTTGAAAGGAAGATCTAAATTTTATTACCATGTGGTTTCATCCAAAGCTATTTTACCAGCCCCAGGGGGACATCTACCACATGGCACAAACCATGACACAGCATTTGACCTCTGGGACCAAGCATGTGGTGAGGGGGGAGGCTGCGGGCCGGAGCTGGGGGCACGGGGTCGAGGCACCTTCTGTCTCTGAGAGAGATCTCTGTGCTGCCATTGCTGCTGCCTGCACCTCAGCCAAATTTCATTTCCTTCCCCACCCAGATTTGCCCCGGCCTTTGCTTTGGAGATGGCAGTTCCACGGACTAACTCCTATCCTCCCCTCGGCAGGTACCATGACCAGCAGGATGTAACCAGTAACTTTCTGGGTGCCATGTGGCTCATCTCCATCACATTCCTTTCCATTGGTTACGGGGACATGGTGCCCCACACGTACTGTGGGAAAGGTGTCTGTCTTCTCACCGGCATCATGGTGAGTACCTGCCTCTGCGCGTGACTCCTCCCCGCCCTCCAACGTGAGCTCAGGGGCCTTTCCTGGTCGGGGGTGGGGCCCGCGGCTGGTAAGCAGGCCAGCATGCGTGTCTCTGTACATGGAGAGGCAGATGTGAAGTCTATGATGGTTTCTTACTTTTTCATTTCCTTTTCCAAGATAGGGATAGGCCCTGGTTCCTGACAATGAGTGGTCTCTTCACAGCCTTGCTGAAAACGGGCTGGGCAGAGCCGACCCTCTCCCACCCGTACCACCCCACTGCCCAGTGTGCTCCCCCACAGTGAGCATCACGGCTTGCCGTCCTTCCTGTCCGCGGGCCGCACAGACCTCGGCACCACATCCGTGAGCTCTCAGAGGCAGGAACTAAGGCAACAGCCCTGAGCTGTGTCCCGCACTGGCGGGCCCCTGCTTTGATTCCAGGGCTTTGCACCAGCTGTCGATTCCCCCAGACTCTGGCGTTCACATCTGCATGTTGGGGTGCTGGGCTCCAAGCGCCAGGTCCTCCCCAGCTCTGGCGTCGGCGAGGCTGTGCCTCCCTCCCTCCCTTCCCCCAGCCGGGCTGCGTCATCTCCAGGCATGTTTTTCCTGCCTGTTGTCCTGCCACCTGAGCCAACACATTCTGTTGCCAGTCACATGGCTGTCACAGCACCGTGTGTGGGAGGGGCCTGGGTGGGAGCTCAGAGCTGGAGTCAGAATTCCCACTGCCTACCTCCTGGCGGACGCTGGGCAGGGCGCCAAGCCCGCCGGACGTGGTGTCGAGGAGTGTGCAGCAGGAATGGCAGGCCTGCCCCGCCCTCCTCGCCGGCCCGCGATGGGGACGGTGGCAACGCTTTGTGTTCACGTGCTTTCCCAGCATCAGGAACTGCACATGCCATCAGGGTTGGGGGAGTCCTAGTGTCCCCAACCTCCACCCCTGCTTCCCTGGCCAGGCGATGAGGCTCCTTGGCCTTCTTGAGCTTTAGGTCCAGGACAGGCGGCCACTGCCCTGTGCCCTCCTTCCTAGAACCCGAGAACGCAGGCTGCGGAGAGGACAGTGCCCATCGAAGCCTGGGCCCCGCCGAGGTGACGGCGGGGGTGAGGGTGCACAGGAAGTCTCTAGTTTGTCCCAGGTCTCTACGGGTGGCTAACGCAGCCCTTCCCAGGGGAGCTTCTCTACACCCCCATCACACCCTACCCATGGAGACCCTCCTTCCAGTGCCCCTCGGGTTTCACTTGTTCTCCTGGGGGGACAAAGGCCACCTTTGGAAACGAGAGGGACTTCCTTCGGCAGCGGAAAGGGGATTAGCTCCTCACCAGGGATGGGGGCTGCTGCCCACCCCACCTCAGCCTGGTGGCCCCCTGGGTGGCCCACTAGGACCAGTCTCTGCGACGAGCCCGTGGGGTTCAGAACAGGGACCCGGGGCAGGGGCCCTGCACACAGAGGGACCAGCGCTGCCATTTCACCACTGAGCACAGTCCTCCGTCCTTCCCCGCTGAAGTCCAGGCTGGTGCACCCTAGCAGGCAGGTCCTCCCCAACAGCAGTTGATGACAACAGGTTTAGCACCCAGGGTTGGGATAAATAATGGGTGAGTGTAAGGCCCCGGAACAAATACCTCCCGTTGGTTAGCAGGAGTCTGTCTGGCGCAGCTCCAGCTGTCACCAGGAAACCCGGGGATGATTCTTCCTTCCAGAAAGGAATGAAATGCCACCCAACTGAAGGCCAGAGCTTTCCTGTCTTGGAGCAGCTCCTGGGTGGTGGGCTGTGTGTGTTGGGGGGGGGGGGGCACTAGGTGGAGGAGCCCGCTGGGAGCCTCTGTTATTTTTAAATATCAGTGTTCTCCCTCTCAGCAAGGAGCTGTGCCCCATCCAGGAAGTGCCCCCCCCCCCCCCCCCCCCCCGCCCGCCACGGTTTCCCTGATGCCTTCCCTCTGGCAAGCACCTCTTGGCTTCTCTGACGAAGTGAGTGGGGCAGGCAGGGCCCCTGGGTCTCCTCCCTGCCTTCTGCTTGGAGTGTGGTCCTCAGCACCCTTTTTGCTCCTGTTCTGTAGCAGCTCCTTGGAAGGGAGTGTTCATTCCTTGATGAGAGAGTTGTGGTCCAAGTGGAAAGAGCAAGTGGATGAAGAGGGGCTGAGGCACCCCCCCCGCAGTAAAGACACAACTCCGTCTTCTCCACTTACTCAAACCCTGTTGCACAAACCTGCACCCCCCAAACACAGGAGCAGGGAGGTTTTCTCCATTCATCTCAGTGTTTTTATGCAAATTAAAGCCACTTGCCTCCCTCTGGGGTCAGCCACAGTGAGGAATACCAGTGGCATTTTTTAAACAAGTGTGGCTTTTGTAGCTGAGTCACTCCTTTTGCGGTTTCAGGGTTGCTGAGATTCCTGTCGTAGCAAATCCCTCCCCCAGCTTTCCAGCAGCGCGTTCATCTCTCGGATATTATTGCAAGTGCCTTAACTAAAGGTACAGCTTCCTGTTTGGTTGCCATGGACACCATGCAGGCCAAGACAAGGCCTGCTGGGGAGGGAAAGGAAAGATTTGTACGTGCGGGCTGTAAATAGTCTTAATCATTGTTTTCTCTTGGCAATCGCAGTAACGGTGTAATTATCAACCATTAAACAGGGTATATAATTGTCTGAACAATTTGACATTGTTGGCGCAGACCTGGTGTGTGTGTGTGAGATTTCACCTGCAAAAGCAGGTGCATCAAAGTCCGGTGTCTTTCCACAAAGAATTTTTTGATGACAGGTACGATGCAGAGAAAGCTCTCGGTACTTAGTCCAGAATTGGAAATGACAACGAAACCTACAGAGGTGCCTTCGGAGCTTTTCGGTTCTGCAGGCACACGGGAGACCTTTGGGACCCCCGAGACAACTCGCTTTCAATAGAGCCGTTTTCTAAAGCCAGACTCACTTGTGGACAAATTATGGACAAATAGACAAAAGCTTCCCGGTTGTCTGCTGCGGACACTGAGCTTCTCCCCAAGGCTCCATGAGAGACGCTTCTTTGAACTGCAGAAGGAAAGCGGCGATGAAGTAGAAGGGAGCACAGACTGAGTCACTTTGGGAGGAGGGAGAGGGAGGGCTCGGCAGAGATCTGCCTAATGTCAGTTTTGGAAGACGAGCCTCTCCCTTAAAGCACCTTGGTTTCAAACCAACTGATGTTATTTTAGTTGTTACGTGGAATCTGTTGCAGAAACAGAATCCAACTGTAAATCCTCCAGGCTTTTCTCCTCCATTTGTCACTTTCATTTATGTTTTATTTTGTTTTGTGCTCCTTTAGTTAAGAACACCTCATACTTTTCCCCTTGGGGTGCTTGTTTTTCCAGAGTCTAAGGTTTTCCAGCTGGAAATGTGTTTTGGAAATAAGAAGTGGAAGGAGCAGTGTGGAGGGGCCTGCGTATCTGATTTGGGTCAAAATCCTCAGAGGAGTTAGGCGTGTCCCCCCATGGCCGCCACTCACTGCTGCTCACTGCTGCTCCTGCTCACCATATACCTTGGATGGTAGGAGCTCATGAGAGGTGGACCCTGCCGCCCCTGCCACCCTCCTGTGGAAATGGGGGCAGAGGAGGACCAGGGAACCCAGCTGGTGTCAGCTGGGATTCAGGGCTTGGCCCATCTGAAGGCAAATGTCTGAGTCATGGATTATCTCCACAGTTGGACCCCATGGAAGTCGTGCCAACAGCTGCTGACCCTGGTGTGCCCCACCCCTCCTCTCTTCACATGCCCTCTGCCCACCAGCCACTTCTCAGATCCCACGCCAGGCCAGCATACACTCTCACACCCCGAGATCAGCCAAGTCCTCAGCAATTTGTCTCTTAAAACCAACTTGCATCACTGCCACATCCCACAGGTTTTCCCAGGCTGCCACCATGGGAATGTCAGACTATAAATGGTAAAGTAAAAGGCTCATGATCCTGAAAGGAACACAGGTGACCATCACATCACTTAGAGGTGAACACAACAGGAGGGTGGGGAATCCTATAACACTACCTTCATTTCCTCTCAAGAACGAAAGTTGACCATTAACTTTTTGACTTAGGCTCCTTGTCCTTCCTGCGTTCCTCTCTTAATCTCATCAACCAGTCCTTTTTTCTTATGCCTCGGCTTCTTCCTTTCCTCTTCCCCTGATCTGTTCCATGCTGTTTAGGATGGAGCGAAGCATTCCCCGTCTCAGTCTCCACTCCAGCTCCCTCTCTGGATCCTCTCTCTCCTTCCCTTCATCATTTCTCTTCCCTTCCCTTCCCTTCCTCTCTCCTTCCCCTCTTTCTCTCCTCCTTCTCTCTCTCTCTCCTTCTCTCTCTTTCACACACACACACACACACACACACACACACACACACACACACACACACATTCTGGAGAGGTCCACAGTCTGGATTTCAGCACCCTGCCCACCACTTTCTGAAGGTTGCAAGATCTGACCCCCATCTTTATAAGGTCGCTTCTTAATGGAAATGATCGAGTTAGGCTTACTGATTGGCAACTTCCCTAACCACATCCATATGATGGATTTTCTAAAAGAAAAGCAAAGTTGGGAGTATCCATTGATTTCTATTCAAGTTAGAATTAGGGATTAAGAGCCCAGCATCCTCCAGAGAGAGTCTTGGTGTGTTTAAGTAGAAAGAAACTGGGAAATGTCATCTAGTCCGCCCTGCCGCCTCCATGCAGAAACTTATCTTAACCATAGAAGACGGACAGCTCCCTGGTTAAAACACTCCAGCTAATTAGAAGCCTCCTGCATTCAAGATGCTGTGCTATGAGCTGTGGAGGGACCACGGAGCACTGTATCCTGGTGCTGGAAGTTCGGGAAGGTGGATGTTAGACTGTTTTGATGAAATTCCCTGAGTGGCATGTATGGTGAGCAGGGCAACTCCTGGCTTGTTATGCCCCCAGCTTTCAGAGGTGATGTCAGTGGGATTTTGCCTGGACCCAAGGAGACGAGGGAACACGGAGCCTGAGGAGAACCCTCTCCATTGATGTTCCGTTTTGACCTCTGCGATATAGCCCTCTTCTTGGGCTTTCAGCCCAAAGTACCTTTGGAATGCCATATAAAGGAGAGTGATTGTACTTGATCTGGTTGAGCAGAATTGAGCACACATCTGCCCTCTAGGACAGCTTCTTTTAAGCTATTTTTTGCCTTTGGAGGCCTGGCTAAATTGATTACAGCTACAGCCAGGCTGTCCAGCCTCCCATACATATCCTTTGAAAACTGGGCACAGAGTCTCCTGCAAGTCACAGACGGCAAGAAAACACAGCCATCTCCGAACAAGAAAGGAAAATTAGGTCAGAAAAGGAAGATTCACAGAGACTAAGTTCCTTTCATTTTGTTGGGCTAGAAATGGGTGGCCCATTGGCAGCTGACCAAATGACCAAATGTACCAAAACCATGAGATTATTTGGACGAGAACCCTTGTAAAAGCCAACTGCAGCCATGCCGAAATGGTACACAGACTAGCCTTTGCCAACCTGTGGAAAAGGAAAGACAGGCTATAAAGGAGGTAGTAGGGCACTGGTCTACCCACTTGGTACAGACAATGTACTTTTGAGACCATTCTTTACCATTTCTAACACACTCTTTTAGACCCAATACTGTTACTGATTGAGTCCTTCAGTCCTGAACCTCAACTGCTAAACGAGGCTCTGTGGCCACTCCAGTTGCTGTTGCAGCTGAGGATGAGACTGTTGACTCCGCCGATCTCATCGCCTCTTTCCCTGAGTGGCGGTCAGCATGGTCCGGGCCCCTGGGCAGGAAGAGGGTGATGGCTCCCAAGGAGAGCACGCTGTCTTCCAAGAGCCAGGCAAGGGCTGGTCTGGCTTCCGCTGCGATAGAAGAATCAGGGGAGGAGAGGTTCGCTCACCCCCCCATGCAGGCCAGTAAGGAAGCGTAGTGGAGGGGACTTGAGAGTCCGTGGGAGGGTGTTGGAATGAGCCACTTTCCCTTGGCTGCTCATTTCCACACAGCCAAGCATGCGCCCAGAGTGTTTGAAGAGAGAGCCCTGGGAAACTCTGCTGCTTTTACTGCCCACCTCCCTTGTGCCCCCCTGGAATGGAACTACCCGAGCAGAATAGGAACAGTGCTCTGGAAAATACTGAGGGCCCCTATGTGTTCTCTTAGAATTCTGGTTTGAGGCAAGAGTGTTGCCATCTTTAAAATCTCTGCATGCCGGTGAATTCATGAGCCTCCTGGCGAAAGCAAGACAGGATCACTTCCTGTGCTGAGTCAGAGCCTCTGTCTTCAGGTAGAAAAACTCAGCTGAGCAGTGAGCAGAATCGAGCAAGCGACTCCTGCCACTGGTGTTCCCCTGGCAAGTGATCTGGGGGAGAATGTGTTGCCTCTTTATTAGATTATTTTCAGGAAAACTCTCCCCCACCAGCAGGTGTTCTGTGTGGCCTTCTTTCCACCTGGGCCCCCCAGTCTGGACCTGGTGGCAGGGTCGAGACACACCTGAGGGAGAGTGGGCCTGTGTGTGCACCAGACCCTCTGTAGTCCCTGCACAGCCTGGCAGGTGACCAGACCATTGTTCATTGTTTTAAATTCCCCAAAGCTTCAGCCACACTCAGTGTCCTGCTCCATTAAGAGCCGGCAAGTCCTATGAAGACTCAGCTTCCCAGAAGTCAGCTCTGCAGCTAGGCCAAGGGCATTGCAGACCCCTCCACGGGTACAGGGATCAGGGCCTGGACAGGTTTTGTGGCTTTGGCCAGCCAGAGAGCTCAGGTTCCCCCTACACTCCCAGAATCCCCACAGTGGTCACCAGGCACGCTGAGTCTTCCACCCGAGTCTTGCCTCTGAATGATGTGCTTTCTCCCCATCCTCTTGCTGTTGTCCCGCAGGGTGCGGGCTGCACTGCCCTCGTGGTGGCCGTGGTGGCCCGGAAGCTGGAGCTCACCAAAGCGGAGAAGCACGTTCACAACTTCATGATGGACACTCAGCTCACCAAACGGGTAAAACACCGCCATCCACATCTTCATGGGGGACTTCAGACAGATGTGGAGGCCAATCAGAAAGGAAGTAGTCACGTGGAGTGGGCTGGGGACCCCAGACACCGGCCACCCGCCTCCACTAAATGGGCACACGCCTCAGCACTCCGGGTCCTGTGTTCTCTTACACGTCCGTGTGCCGTTCAGGCAACCGAATCGTTTTCCCGATAGTTAAGTCTAAAGCATATGGTGGTGTAACCTGCCCCCTTGCCTAGAGGTGATTGAATAAATTACCCCACATGAAGCAATGGTTTGTTTATGCTCAAACATTTTCATGATTCTCATGAGGAAGGGCAGTGGAGACTCTTAAAATGGTACTGGAAATGTATCCAAATCCAGGCCTTTAAAAAATCATTACAGCCATTGCTGTACGGCCCACATTCCCAAAGAACATCATTTTCCAACTTTCCCTTTTGGGTTTTCCGGTTAACGTTCCTACGTGTCCCCTCAGTGGAAGTGGCTAAGAAGGGTGCACACTGAAAACAGGCAGGAACAGAGAGAGCACTCAGACTGGACAGCCTGACACCCCGCAGGGCTGCCAGGGAGGACGGGCCCATCCAGAAGGGGCAGAAACTAGCAGGCAGGAGCGATGGCAGCTCTGGCGGACCAGTCTTTGTGAGCTGCAGGCTGAAGGAAGGTCATCAGAGGATTTCCTGCAAAATCCCCTCTTTCCGAGATGGGCAAGAATTCAAACCCTGTGCTGCAGTCTTGGCCGCCCCACCAAGTGCTTCTCATGCAGGACTGGAGCGGGTGGAAGGGCCATAAGCGACTTGACTTGGGTTTGGGTTTTTGAAAGCTGGAGAACACGTTCGGCGATCGATGCTGCCGCGCGTGTGCAGTGCAGTGTGTAGAGACAAAGGCAGAAGGGAGAACAGAGAGAGAGAGGACAGTGGCGGAGGGTGCGCGAGCTCTCGGAGAAGGCAAGGGAGAGTGCGTGGTTGCCACGGCCTCTCCAGTTTCTCAGTAGACTTACTTCTGGTGCCTGACTGTTTGGTCTTTGATTACCTGTGCTGGGTTCTCTAAAGAGCCCCCTCCGCAGAGGTCGCAGGGAGGCGCACAGACAACCCTTCTTAGGTTGCCGGCACACAGGTGTTTGCACAGCAGCTCCTCGACAGTGATGCTTTGTCACAACATTCGTGTGGTGCCACCGGGACTTGATTCTGTGTATGGTAGCCTGTGGTAAAATCGGTTTCCTTATACATCTTTTCATCTCAGTTCCAAGAACCTGTTGACAATGTTAAGTGAAGACCCGCTGCATGTGGTATGTAGCGGACCTGAGCTGTGGACTGGTGGAAGAAAACAGCCTGTGACATCCAGGCGGCAGAACTGCGCCCGCGCGCAGGCCAGCCGGTGTCACCCCCAGCCCCGCTGCTCTCGTTCAGGCCTGCACTACACGGGCAGAAGTTATGCCCAGTCTTGAGCAAATCATAAAAGTGACTGGAGCACCTAAATGCAAATATGCTTGTATCTACTCTCCTGAAGCGACTTAGCCCAGGAGTGAAGGGCGAGAGTTCTGCCTCCGAAACCTTCTCAGAAGCTGTTTCCTTAGAGCAGAGTCATCAACAGTTTCTCCGTTCTGCTTTGCTTTTTGAAACCAAGGATGTACTTGTATTTCATGCTATTAGTTTTGTCCTCTCCATTTTCCGCCATGTAAATCAGGCTGTAGAGGGAAATAAGCCAAGGGAAGCCAGCTCCCTCATATGACAGGAAAACAATCAATTTTTCTGCAACACAATTGCAAAGGAGATGAGATTGTGGTTGCTAATTTCAGTCTTTCAGGAATAATTCTCTAAAATTCTCCTCAACTCAGTCCACTTAACTCCTTCAAAAGTATAACTGAAAATCAAATCAACAAATATTCGTTGCTCACTCATGGGTGCATGGCTCCTTTTAAATCAAGTCACATCTCACTTTTCTGAGAGAACGTAAATCTGTTGAAATGTTCCTTTAATGCCTACCGTCTTTTCCCAGAGAACCAAGCAATGTGAAGGGACCGCTCTGGCCGGGGGGGGGGGGGGGGGGGGGGGGTGGTTTCCAGGCCGGTGGGACTGGGACTCCGGAGGTTCCGTGACATAATCTTTTTTTTTTTTTAAGATTTTTTTTTTTTAATCTTTAGAGGGGAAGGGAAGGAGAGAGGGAGAGAAACATCAATGTATGGTTACCTCTCATAAGTCCCCTGCTGGGAACTGGCCTGCAGGGAACCAGCCTGCAACGGGGTATGTGCCCTGACTGGGAATCGAACCACGATTGTCTGGTTCGCAGGCCCGCGCTCAACCGTGACATAATCTTGATTGAAGGGAACTGGCTGGGTCTGCTCGGAGAATCCCACTTGCTTCCCCAGGGATGTCTTGTCCACCCTCTGTCCTTTCCACGCGGCCCCGGTGCGTCCGGCTGTGGTTGCTTATGGGTCTAAGGGGGGCCGGGCCCAGTCTGATCGTGAGGTCGCAGGGAAGGGTCTGGTTGTGGGAGGGGGTGGTCATGTGTGATTCCTGCCTTCTCAGGAGTGGACAGTTTAGTTCCACAGTTAAAAACAATCTCTTACCAGGATATGCAAACTTTATCCTTCAAACAGCTAAGCAAAAACAAAAAGAGGAACTGAAACCTTTTCATCATAAAAATATTCAAACTGTCTAGCGTTTAATCATCCTATCTATCTTGAGTGCTGGCTTTGACCCAGCCTTTACTGTGAGTCACAGGGTCTTTATGTGTTTGTTGGGGGAGGAGGGGTGCCTGGGGCGCAGGGCAGGGCCTCGGTCTCTGGTCCCCTTGAACCCGAAGCTGTTCTTCCCTCACTCGTTCCACTTGCCAGCCCGGCAGCAGCGTCACGCCCGTGTTCGGGGCCGTTAGGTTTTCTCACAGGACTTTACACTGTTACCACCACTGTCACTGAAATGATAATTTACTGCTAACCTCCGGGCCATTAGATAATATGTATATAAATGACGCCCAGAGAGACTGTAAAAAGATGTTAGTTCCCCATCTTTTCTCCCACTTGACATGACATGTCCCCATCTCTCCGTTCCACATAACTACACACCAGTCACAGGGTCACCCATTCTGGGGACATCAGGATGGGTAAGGGATGGTCCCCTGCACATCCTTCCCGCCTGCCCTCAGAAGGCACCTCCCTTTCCAAAGGCGAGGCAGGCTGCCCAGGGACGCGGGAGGCTGGAGAGGCGCCGCGGCGAGGAGACGCTCTGCTTCCCGTGCCTGCTGCACGTCCGACCCTCGGCAGCGGCCGGTGTGAGCCACTGGCTCAGGGCGTGTCTCTGTGTCTTGCCACAGGGGTTCTTGCTCCGAATACGTCATCCAAGCACATTTCCCGTGAAATTAATGAGGAAGACCAAAACCAAACCCGATTCCTCCCTAAATTAGCTCCTTCTCCTGACTTCCTGGCCAGCTTATGACGTCAGTGAGTGCCTCATGCCTGAAAACTCAGCACCATCTGGACCCAGGGAGGCACGAGCGGTTTACGGGCCTGATTCGACCTGCTGAGGCCGAGGCCATCCTCGCATGCGGGGCTCCCCAGGCCCTCCGCCCACCATCCCTAAAGCCGCCATTGCCCCTGTCTTGCCCGATCGCAGCTGCTTGCTGTCTTTTCTGCTCCCGCTGGGCCTCCCTCCCCCGACTCACCCTCCACTTCGCCTCCCTGCGGACCTCCTTAGACACTAAGACTTCATTCTGAACATATCAGTACCCCGTTCAGAAACCTTTAGTAACCCCGCTGCACCCACTGAACAGTGCTAAAGAAAACTTCTCTCTAATTATGAGCATATGTCAAAGTTTTTATCACAATCCTGCTGGAAAAGCAGAAATTTTTGTCCAGCAGACCAACTCAAAGGCTTACTCATGGTAAGACATTTTATAGGGAAAGACAGGCACCACTGTAGTGCCAGGTGCAGGAAGTCTGGCGAAGGGACACTAGATTCAGGACTGATAACTGGTTGGTCCCAAGAGTGGATTCCCAGAATAGGTCTGAATGTCTTTAAAAGTTATCAGACAATCGACCCTGGCTGGTGTAGTTCAGTGGATTGAGCACGGGCCTGTGAACCAGACAATCACGGTTTGATTCCCAGTCAGGGCACATGCCTGGGTTGCAGGCCGGTTCCCTGCAGGCCAGTTCCCAGCAGGGGATGCACAAAAGGCAACTGTACATTAATGTTTCTCTCCCTCTCTCCTTCCCTTCCCCTCTAAAGATAAATAAATAAAATCTTTAAAAAAAAAAGTTATCAGACAATCGATTGAGCAGTTACCAGGAAAGCTAATTCCTTTCAGAGGGGGATTGTAGATTTTGCTGATGATAAGGGTTTTGTCCCACACCAGACGGGACAGTCATCACAGAAACTGAGCTTGTGAGCTGGGAGGACCCTCAGGGCTGTGCCTCTCGGCCCAGTGAGGAGTGAGGCCAGGCTGGCTGTGCACGGCCAGCGAGGTCCTGGCGAGGGCAGCAGTCCGTTCTCAGGCCTGCGGGCAGCTCTCCAGCCACCGCCCAGCAGGTTCTCCAGAGTGGTCAGTTCCTTGAACCTCAGCATGGGGTTGGGATCCTGGCCTGCTGCTGAGAGGAGCCAGGTTATCCCAACCTCACTGAGCATCGCATAAATATCAGTATAGAATCAGCCACCATTCATTACCGTGCTGCTGTGGGGAAAGAGTTCAAACTACAATTTGGAACCATGGAGATTCTTCTTGCTCCCTGCCCTAATTTCCCACTGGCGACAGGGGTGGAGCCCCCACTTCAGGGCTGGCCACTGGGTGAAGTGAGCAGAGAAGCCTGGGGAGGGAGTGTGGAAAAGGGTGGGAGAGGAAGGGGAGAGGGTGTCAGAAGGGAGAGGAAGGAGGCCGCCCTGCAGGAAGCCTGTGTGGCGGGGGTGGGGGTGGGGGGCGGCGGGGCCACCAGAGGGGAAGGCGGGCCAGCCCTGTTCCCCAGCTGTGTCTGAAGGACACCTTTGGTCAGGTGTCTGAAGACAGACAGAGCTGGCTTTAGGTTCTCAGGTTGTGATGTCCACAAGCTCTCGGCGAATCTGAATGCAACCTGTGCAAGTCCTCCGAGTCAAGTCGCACTTACCCTGCAGTCTCCCCTCCCCTCCCCCTGCCCCCTGCCCCAGCCTCCGGGGCAGCACCCTTTCCCTGGGCAGGATTCCTGGCTGCACAGCGGGCGTACTGCGAAGTCTTCCAGCCGGCATGGGTGCCTGTCTCATCCCGTCCTGTGTTCCACCTAGAGCTCTCAGTCCCTTTGCAGTGCCCAGGGGCATGTTGCCCTGGCAGAGAGGGGCCTGAACAAGCCCTGACGTGGGCGACGTGGCCAAGGGCTGGAGGAACAGGCTTGTGTGTTCCATTTAGTGTTCTCTCTTGTTAGCAAGGAAGGAAGAGAAAGAGGCTGACGTTTATTTGGTGTGGGGGGAGAATATTAATGAAGGTACCAGGCATTGAAAAGCACTGTGGCCACACTCTCATTTAATCAACTCTACAGTCCCATTTTATGACCTGTAGCATCATCTCTAGACACCTTCCTGCCGAAATTTTCTCTTGAAGCATTTATTACCTGACGCTATGTTATAAACTACATGCTGTCCCCACAAGATTATACGCTGCACGCGGGCTTGAATGTTACCGGGTTGTACATCTTGGTTCCCTCACTTCCTGGAACAGTGTCTGCCCCATTGTAGGGGCTCGGTAAAAACTTTTCTTATTCATTAATAAGAAAATTGAGTCCCAGAGAGGTTTCATAACAGGTCCAAGGAAGAGATAGTAATTTATCTGCTTGTGAGGATTTACTGAGAGCTAAGAAAACACTGTAAACAGAAAGTGTTTTGCAGAGCCTGGCACACAGTAAGTGCTCAGTAAATGTTAGCTGTCACTATTATTTGCGAGATCTTATTTGGATGACTTCTTTACTCAACCCCTTTCATCTTAAAGCCCTTCCTAAAGTATGTGGGTCACTGAATCCAGTCCTTGGCCTTCATCAGAATGAAAATGTACATTCTCTTTGGTAGAGAATGTGTGGAGAGGAAACAATCAGCTCTTGGGCTTATGGGCCTGGTGAACTGGACAACCAGCTTCCACGCACAGAGGCCCTTTCTCACCGCCCTGAACCCATCTGCTGGTGACCAGCCTTGCTCAGGTTTGCCCAGTGCCCTGACCCACCCCACCCCAGGACCACCTCTAAGCCCTGGTGGCCCCTCCCACCAGGAGAGCTCAGAGGGTCCCCAAGCTCCCATCCGGGGCTCAGCGGACCCCAGGGAAGGCACAGGACCTCAGCTGTTCCCCATCTAATGATGCTTGTCAGCCAGGTGAACTGAAGGGAGACCCTGGTCACAGTAGCGGTTACTGTCCACCTGGGAAAGCACAGTGCAGTTAAAAGCCTATTTCTTCTTCTCTAGCAGATATTGATCTTCTTAGCGTTGTGCCAGGCTGTTCACTGGCAATTCATTTCAACGTCAGCACCAAGGCTCATATTTAACATCACTTTCCAGAATACTCAGGGGTGTCCTGTTCAAAGCGATAAAGATGACGCGGCTGCCTCTGTGCACCGCCCGGGCTGTGCGGGGGCCTCAGAGACTCACCTTGGGCTGACATTACATATGGGATGTGGACGCCCTGTTCTGTCATTGCTGAGTGAAGGCCAAGATGATTTAGAAGCTTCTAATGTCCTTTCCAATTCCTTAATCCTGGAAAACAGGAAATAATTTTGTTTGTGTAGAGATGAAATCTAGCCGGGTCTTTCTTCAGACCTCATGAAAACCTTCTGCTCTTCTTGGACCTGGTTCTGCTTTGACCTTGCCGTTGGCTGGTTGTGAGTCTGGCCCTCACATCCCATCTCTGAAGCTGTTTCTTTTTAAAGAGGGGTTTAGGCAAGATGATAATAATCAACATCAGTTTGTTTATAGTTCATAACTCTTAAGTTCATGTTGACTCAGTTTGTCATTTTGAACTTTACAGTCTCAGTCTGTGTCTCGGTTTCTTCAGCTATAAAATGGGGGTAATATCAATACCTGCCCGACAGGGTTGTACAGATGACCCGAGTTCACGCACAGAAGGTTTGCAGGCTTGCGCCTGGTAACGCTAGCCGTTGGCTTCACCATCAGCACCGTTATCACTGCCTCATTTGGGCATCATAACAAGCCTTAAAGTCGGGATTCATTTTTCCTATCTTACAGATAATTGTTTAGTCCTCGACTACTTAACAGCTGCTGGGGCAGGAATTCACTTGCACACTTTTCGATTGCAAACGCCTGTCCCACACCAGATGGAGACCATGGTCAAAGGCCCCTCCGTGCCCGCGCCGACACTCCTTCCCCTTCTCCATCCACAGAGGAGACCCGTGGACCTGGGGCCCTGCTGGGTCCTAAATACAGGGCAGGTCTTCCCTGTCGTTCCTCTGTGAGGCTTCCCTTGGAGGCGAAGCGCCGGGGGAACTGAAGGTCACGTGTCCAACCACCCCCTGCAAAAGATAGGGGTACATGCTATGCAGAGGGAAGGGGTTCTATTCCGTGTGGCCTGGTCGCCGTCCACTCTAGGCCCTGGGCAGAAACCTAGATCACCCCCTCTCCCACCTTCCCACTTCTCACCTGGACACTTACTATTTCTAGCTTATACTCACCATTACCTGCTTCCTTTACAGCAAGAAATTAACAGGGGTGGGCAATTAAGTCCTTAAAACCATTTTCACAGTGGATTTTTACTGAACAAAAAAAGCAATATATTTATGTCACTTAGACATTTCTGAGAAGACTTAGCTGTTCTTTTAAAAACATCGCTTCTGCGCCAGCGAAAAATGTAATCCAACCTTAGTAATAAATTTTTAAAACACACACACAAAAATTATCAGTCTGCAAAATGATGTTTCCTAGGCCTTCCCGCATGTCTCAGTATTTTAATGACGTCCCATCTGTTGCTGTCAGTCTGAAGAAGCAAGCCTGTACTCTCCAGTTTTATTAAAAATCCTTGCTGGCTAGTAACGTGATTTCTACGAGGCTGGCCTACTTACTTCCAGGCCCCGGGCCTGTGGGTCTGTGCCAGTGTATGCGGCCGATGGGAGTGGGGATGGTCAACCAAAAATCTGTTTAGTTTGTGCTTAATAAGAAGTGTTTCCTTTTGCTCTTGTTACTAATTGCTGAAGATGTCTGTGTTTGGACTGAAACTTTGTCCCCAGCCATCTGGTTGCCACTGATATGTCTCATCTCAGTCTCGGGCCCGGTGATATCAGCGGTTTCCATGCCAACAGATGACAGCGTCATCTGTTGAGACGTGTGATTGTGGCACACAACGAAGGAGCTGGCCTTGGGAGAGCGGCAGCTCGGCTTTCATACCAGACATCTACACTGATTCTCAGATACCGGTTTCATTATTCCTGTTTAATGCCACGCACAGTTCCACGTAAAACTGCAGTGGAAGTGTTTTTGGCCATTCGGGGAAAGAAACAACAGTCTCGCTGACACCTGTAGTTCCATTTGGTGGGAAAGACTTTCCCTCAAAGAGGGCCGGACAGATCTCCAGCTGATAGGAAATCTGTTTACTCCCCGAATGCAGGAAAGCACCGTGTGCAGGAAGCAGAAGTCTCGGGTAGGGCCGGGACTCTGCCTGCAACGGCGGCAGTGTACATATTTATCTATTCGCAGGGGGCCTGGGGCACCCAGGTCTTGTTAATGCGGCTTGTCTAAATATAGCAGCAGCAGCAGCAGTCCAGGGGCAGCCCTGAGATAATTAGAAAGGAACAGGAAACACCCCTGAAATTCAGGCTCCAGTGCGCTGCGTCCAATACAGGATTAGTAGGAGATGAATTTTAATTATCCATTCTAAGAGTTCATGATTTGATTAAGGAATTAGATCACTGCAGAATTGTTTCCTTATAAAGTAGACTATATCAGCAAACAGAAAAACATGTGCAACTAGGAAAACCAACCTTAGAGCACCTCGCTTTATCCACTTTCCTTAGATCAAGAATGCTGCAGCCAACGTCCTTCGGGAGACGTGGCTCATCTACAAGCACACGAAGCTGCTCAAGAAGATCGACCACGCCAAGGTCAGGAAGCACCAGAGGAAGTTCCTCCAGGCTATCCACCAGTGAGTATTTGGGGGCTGGGACCCCGCAGTGTCTCCTCTGCACTCAGAGGCACAGGCGAAGTGCATCCTCTCCCGCTCAGTGAGCCTGGGGGGGCAGGGACCGGAACACAGGTCGGTCTGTCCACCCGGAGCGCCTGCCGCTGCCAGACACGGGGCAGGCTGATGGGGGAAGAAGCGTAGTGACCAAGTAGAGGATGGAAACAGTTGTTCTTACCTGGAGGTTTGGGGGAACCCTGAAAGGCCAAGAGTACAGCGCCCGAGGTGGAAGGCACAGCTTCGAGGCATAGAAGCCAGAAAACGGTCTGGGAGGAAACCAGAGTGGCTGAAGGCGAGTGTGCGTGGAGACAAGAGCCTGCTTCCCGGGGGGCCCGACAAGCCCTTGGTGCTGGTCAGGTGTCACCCATGTTCGAGGTTCCCACACTGGGTTCCAAAACCAGATGAACTGATGTGAATGTGAGACTGTTTGTGGGACTGACCCAAATAGGCACTGGAAGGCTATGGCTGTTGCAACTCTTTCCCACAGACTGAGGAGTGTCAAGATGGAGCAGAGGAAGCTGAGTGACCAAGCCAACACCCTGGTGGACCTTTCCAAGGTGAGTGGCCAAGTCTGAAGACATGCTAAAGAGGTCTCAGATGCTGGCGTACTGCTCGAGCGTGGCTGTGAAGACGGGCCACGTCCAAACCGCACAGGGCAGGACCGGGAAAGCAAAGAGCAATTCCTGCTTGGTTCAAAAACTATCTAGGTTCAAGTTCTTACCATTTGCAGTCTACTAATGGGTCTTGTCTTTTAAAGCCTGGCATTTGTTTCTTACATTCAATCATTCGGGTTTGTCTTTGCTTGAAATTAATTAGCTGCCCTCTCAAAGTGTCTCAGCAGGCCGCGTTCAGACGAGCTCGAGTTTGCACAGGGCAAAGCACACTGGAGAGAACTGGCTGGGGACGATGGCCATAATGTTGCTGAGGTCACACCTGGGAAAATCCTTCCAGCTTGCTGTTATAATTGGACATTCATGCTCTTGCATCCTTCAGTCGTTACAACCCAGCTGTTATGGCCCCAAATTGGTGGTGGGGTGCATTTCTTTACTTCTCAAGAGGCAAATAGCCAATGATGAATATAGAGATGCGGAAAATGAGAGTCCTCTTTTGAGGACCCCGGGGCTGGATATCACGCCCTCATTCTGCATCCCTGGGACTGAGCTGCTGTAAAGAAACTTGTTCTTTTTTGCAAATCACTGAAGTGAGGGAACCTACGGCTGCCCCGCTGGTGGAGCTGAGTGTGTGGGAGCCACGGAGGTGAGGCCTCCCGCCCCAGCCCCTTCTCCTCACTGACTCCGGATAGAAATTGTGTATCAAGTGTACAGCCCAGGGCCAGGCAAGCAGAATATTCCAGCAGATGCCAATTATCACAGTGGCACACATTCGTCCCCTGGGTAAGCAAGAGAAACTCCCTCAGGCAAATTAAACACCCTTTGAAAAGAGGGTGCAATCAGAGAAATTGCTGGTTGTTGGGCCACGTGCAGGCCCCTCTTTCAGTGAAGGGATGAAGCCAGAGAAGGAGCCTGCCAATCCCCGGGGGGTTGAGAGACTCGTACCAGGGAACGCGTGGCTTGTACGGGAGAAGCCACAGGCCTGTGTGCCTTTGCAGGGGTGCCGAGGTGGAGCACAGGGCTCCGGGGAGCCCGGAGGAGGGACCCCTGTGCTCTGAGGTGTGTCCTGCATCAGAAACCTGCTGGGACTCAGTGTTAAAGTGGAGGCGTTTTATGTTAAGGATACCAGGAGGTCTCCTTCCGGGCAGAACCTCACGGCAGGCCTGTGCTCACACATCAGGAAGGAACGAACTAGAACTGGACCCGAGGAAGCCCTCGCACCCAGGAAATATTCTCTCTGCTCTCTCCTTCTGTTCGAGTGCCTGCTTCAGTCTCGCTCCTTCTCTCACCCTCCCCTTACCTTAGACAGCTTTCTATGCCCCCTGTCTCCACGGCAGACCACAGCAGGCCCCAGTCCAGAGAGTAAGTGTTCTGGTGCTGGCCTCAGGCAAAGACAGCGGGCTGCCTGTTGCTCTTCATTCTGAATCTCAGGAGAAGTGAGATGACTGGCCGCTCTGGGTCATGTGTCCACCCTTAGACCAATCAGCCGTGGCCAGGAAGAGGGTCCTGTAGGGCTAACACCCTTTGAGATGCCGCAATGGCCCAACAACATGCCTCAAGATATTTCTTCTAGGAGTAGCGACGTTTCCTGCCTCATCTCTCAGCTGGCAGGAAGTTCTCCCGGGACGGTCAGGCCACCCCAAGTTTCAAGCCTGCGTTTCTTCAGTGCCACCTGCAGCCTTTCACAGAGGTGGGGCTCAGCGCAGATCAGACTGGGTGAAGCAAAAACCGCAGTGAGCTGGAAAGAGGTTCATATGAATGGGGTGGGGAAAGTGAACATCAGTAATCTGGGAGCCAGTCCCTGGAAAGAAGGGGTGTAGAGGAGAGAGGGTTAACGCCGGGCACAGGGCAGGTCAGCTGCGAGACCTGGCGAGGAGATGAAACTGCCATCCATCTGGGTTTTGTCACTTCCTCCCGGGGGACTCACCCAAGGTTCTGGCAGCAGCTTAGCATATGTCCCATTGATCCACAGTCCCCCTGGCCTCCTGTCACCAAGCAACAAAACAGGGGAGCTGATAGTGCTGTGCTCTCTCTCCGTCTGCACTCTGTCCTTCCTCCTGGCTGCCCACCTCCCTGCCCTGCCCTGTGGTCCCCTCTAGATGAAGAAAACATCACATGACCTCGCGGTGTCCGTTGCTGTGTTGAATACGTGGAGGCAGGACTGGGAGGGCTTGGGCTCTTGGTTTGCTGACTCCAGTTTCCTCAACTGAAAGGTAGGAACAGTTCCTGATGTCCGAGGCTTAAGTGAGCAAATGAGATGCTCTCTGTGAAAATGCTTTGTAACCCACAAAGAGTTTGCAAATGATAGTTCTGATTACGAATCTAGGTGAGGAAACCAAGGTCACAAGGAACAAAATGACTGTCCCGAGGTCACCCCGGACTCAGTCCAGCGCTTTTCAGGGTGCCCCTGTGGCCAGGAGCGTTTGTGGCTTGTACATTCTGGGAGGAGTGGGCACCTTGAGGAGGTTTCTGAAGGTTAATGAAGGGACCACTTTCGCTTCCAGAGCCACCCTCTCCTCTAGGGGTGTCCCGCTCCCCCAAGGGCAGCCCTGCCTTGGTTCTACCTCCGTGACGGCCACTTGTGGGCCCCAGGCAGCTTCTTGTGGGGCACGTCTCACCTGGGAAGGTGTTGCTCAATCTTCAGTCTCTCCTCCCCATCTTCTCTCTGGTTTCTCATATTCGCCACCTTCCTTTTCTCCTCTTCTCACCTTGTTCTTATTCTCCGGGCCCCTGAGAGCACCAGTGGTTCCCATCTTCTGGAATAACTTGAAACTTCAGATGAAATAGGACCGGAGTACCACTGGCAGATGGCCAGAAGCCTCAAGAGCCACAGTACCTAGTGTGGGGGCGGAGCACACAAAGCAAGGGCAACCTGGCCCTCTGCCACTGTGGCCAGAGGGGCACCTGGGAGTGCAGAGATGCCCAAGAACCTTGCTCCCAAGTCTGATGTCACGTGTTACTTTGAGGGAGAGATGTGGCCGTCACATGGAGGAGGGTTCTACACACCAACCCGGGAAGCCAAATCATAATCAGAAAGTTGCCAGATAGAAGTGGAGTCAGAACTAGATGGAGCAGTGGTTGCAGACTGCTTTAACCAGTCCACGCAGTGGTTTAGTCCAGTTCAAGGAATTGAGATTGGGGGATGTTGATGGGAGGGGTGGGTGGTACTTTGGTCTGGTGAGGTGCGAGGGGTGAGGCAGAAGATGACACCCAGGTTTCTGGTTGGGACAACCTGATGGACACCCCCGCCCCCACGGAGACGGGGCTTTGGCGAAGGGCAGGTTCAGGGAGGAAAACGGCACCCTTGACATGAGCTTTCTTTGTTCAGCTCTGCTTCCGACCTGGCTTTAGGACTTAACTCTTGAAGCCCAGTTTATTTTATTACTTTAAAATGTTATTTTATTTTCAGTTCCCTGGAGGCACCCCAGTCTTGCTCTCCTGCTCACATGACCTCTTTTCCATCTGCTCACAGACGCTCACTGAGCACCTGCTGCAGAGCCAGACCCTGGCTGGGCCCGGGCGTCTGCTCTCCTTCACACGCAGGTCTTGGTGGGAAACTCAGAGAAACCTCATGGGTGTATGGCCACAATTGGGGGTGCACAGGGTCTCTCCCCATCAGTAACACTGCCGCCTTGGCTACAGGATGGCGGGGCCAGTGATATTTTACTTGGGCCAGTACTGTATTCATTCACTGGCTCCGCCAACAATTTTTAGTGACAGTCATGTGCACCAGACCCCCCCTGCCTTATATATATTTGTCCATCAAAATTGTTAGTTGAGCATCTCCTGTGTACCAGACACTGTTGGTTCCCTGGGACCCACATCAGTGGACCCAGCAGGCAAACACCCCTTCCTGGAGGACACCAGCAATAGCCCGAAGAAACAGTGAATTTGTTCACGCACTAGAAGGTGGTGTGGAAGACAGAAAGGGCCGAGCAGCGTTAGCGGGGCGGAACGAGGTGCGGGACTGAGCAGGGTGTCAGCGAGGTGGGACTTTTCATTGAGAAAATGATTTTTAAGGGGCACCTGTTGGAGGTAGGGCTGTCAGACGTGGGATGTGGTGGGGGAACCAAGGCTCAGAGAGGTTAAGGGGCCTCAGGGAGGGCACACAATGAATGAAGTGCAGACTTGTCCCTGAACCCTGGCCTGCCAGCCACAAGTCCGTTGCCCTGTCCACTGCCCACCACAGTGCCTGTCTCATCAGCAGCGCCAGGACCATATGAGCTGGGAGGCTGGGCACAATGAGAACACGAGAACAGCTTGGAGACTCTCTCCATTTAAGAAAAAAATGTGCTGCTTCTTTTCCATGTTACATATTCTCTTATATCTTGTTATAATTAATATGCATGACTTTTGTAATGAGGGGGGAAAAAACATTTTTCCCCTTGAGCCGCCGTGTCTCCAGGAAAGTAAGCTGCTGCCTCCTCCTTGAGGCACGAGGCGTGGCCGGCGTGGAAGTTGCTCCCGTCGTAATCGGAGGAGTTTTTCATTTTCCCCATTGCAGAGTTCCCTGTGATGACCTGTCATCTCCCTGTCTCTGGCCTCTCTGCCTCTCTGTACAGATGCAGAATGTCATGTATGACTTAATCACAGAGCTCAATGATCGGAGCGAAGACCTGGAGAAGCAGATTGGGAGCCTGGAGTCCAAGCTGGAGCATCTCACCACCAGCTTCAATTCTCTGCCCCTGCTCATCGCGGACACACTGCGCCAACAGCAGCAGCAGCTGCTGTCTGCCATCATCGAGGCCCGGGGTGTCAGCGTGGCGGTGGGCGCCACTCACACCCCGCTCTCCGACAGCCCGATCGGGGTCAGCTCCACCTCCTTCCCGACCCCATACACCAGTTCAAGCAGTTGCTAAATAAACCTCCCCATTCCGGAAGCATTACCTATAGGTCTTAAGATGCAAATCAACTCTCTCCTGGTCGCTTTGCCATCAAGGAACACTGAGACCAGGGAATGTAAGACAGAGAGACCGAGCTCACTAACCGACTCGTGTTCATTCAGCGTGCTTGGTTCGACATGCCTTGAAACCAGAAATCTAATCTCTGTTTAGGTGCCTCTACTTGGGAGCAGGAAGCTGAGATGACAGGAAGCGACGCCCCTGGCAGGGCCCTTGCTGCAGAGTTGGTGGAGAACAGAAATCCACGCTCAATCTCAGGTGTTCGCCCGGGGGGCGGGGGTCAGACGCACTGACATGGCCGGCAGTGAACCACCCGAAGAGGGGCCCGCTTCGGCAGGGGCGCGTCAGGCGTGGGGAATGGGCTCCTTGCCACTGGGGTCCTCCGCACACCTCTCTCTTTTTCTTTTGTTTGAGGAAACTGCTGGATGACAAAAGGAAAAGAGGGCTGCCCACATGTTGCCCAAACAGGCATTCTTTCTTTCCATATCTTATACAATCGTAAAGCCCAATTTAGACAGAAAAATGAAAAGCCAGATTTTCCATCCAATATCAAAACCCACATAAACCCGTGTGTTTGCGAGTGTGCGCACACACACATACATCCCACACTCAACCCAGGTCTACTCTTGTTTGAACTTGACCCAAATGAAAAGGGACCTGGCACCTTGCCTTGCACACGGTAGGAGTAGTTTGGGTCAGGGCACTCCCTAACTGTGTGCTGAGCTGTTTGAGTCTGACTGTGGGTGCTCTCAGTGCAGGCTGCATGCCGGTGTTGGCCAGGTTCTGAGCTTCACAGGAAACGCGGGTCCTTCAAACACAACACAGGTTGCTCCATCCTGGGTGTGCACCATGTTTGCTTGGTTTGAGATGATGCCGTTGGCATTCTGGACAGACAAGCGGCCTTCTAAAAATGGCAGCTTTGCAGAGCTTTCTTCTTATATCCCAACAAGTCATGTTCCTGTGGAGCACACGACCAGGTGTGTGCGTGTGAGGGATGGGGACAGGACCTGCGCATACGTGTGCCTCCACATGCACTGACAAGTGCAACCCAGTCACACCCGAGTGCTGTCTGGGGGTTTGCTCAGCTCGGTTTACCCAGCAACAGGTTCCCAAATCCAGATGTTAGGGCTACAGGGCGGTCGGTGCCTCCTGGGGTCCCTTCTACCTGACCTGAAACCACCTCCGAATGAAAGGCTCTGAGAATTAAGGGAGCCCCTAGGGACTTGGGGGTCAAGCAGGTTGACACAGATGCATGGATTTGTCAGTAGCCTGTCCCTGCTGTGCCGTGTTAACCTTGGTGCAAAACTCTCCTAACATCTCTCAAACTCCAAGAGACTCCAGAAACATCAAGATCCAGTGTAGGGACAGGCCTTGCGAAGAGTGGCCTGTGGAGGCACAGTCATTTCATTGCTCCCAGACCTGCCCACACATCACACGTGTGGTGTGAAAGCCACCGTGCTATTCGTTGCTTTCTCATTCGGAGGTCTTTGACTTCCATTTGCGGGGAGTTAAGTGGTACTGCACGGAGCTTTCATCTGTTTGGGGCAAAACGAGACTGCTGTGTGTGTGTGGTTCCCTGCCGGGTCCCCCTCTGTGCGGGGACGTCGTCACCCTTCCAAAGGCCGTGTGGGCTGCGCAGGCTCCTCTTCAGCAGGCTGGGCCTGGTCTTCAAAGAACAGGATCAGTTGAAGGTAGATGACCCTGGGACTAATGCCACTCTTTCAAAAAGATCTGGGCTCTTGCTAAACTTCTTTTATCTATTTTATTGCTGTTGCCGTTCATTTAATGGTCTCATGTTTATTATGACAGTCCCTTTGAACATTTTCATTGGTTGTTTTGAATACCACAGATGCCACACTTGCTGTTGGCTTTTTTTTACTTGTTCTTTTAACTATTGACTACCTGAAAGATCCCTCTCTTTTATGTCCCAAGGATGGCGCCCCTGTTTTCAGTGACAGCTCAGCTGATCAGATCAGCAGATGTGTAAACAGATGAAATAACCATGCGTTTCTTTGTGGCATCAGTTTCATTTCACAAGGTGAAGGCCACTGACAGGTCAGGCTGGGAGTGCCAGTTCTGGTCATTTAAGCTACAGACCCCCACTTTCAGTTTCCGTTTGTACTTTCCAGTGAGCCGCAGCCCTGCGGTGTGTGCGCGCACGTGCACATGCACACGCACACGCACACACATGGCACTTCCGTCCCATTTCCAATGAATGCTGCGCAAGACCACACCGCCACTCCCCTACCCAAAAGTGTGCGCAGACCGTCACTGACCCACCCCCATCTGTGGATGATTCTTTGATCCATCATGAATGTTGTGCACTTAGTTAAACCCCCAAAGACCAAGCTAGCGACACTAATAAAGGGCATGGCTGGATTCATTTCCAGTACCGGTAGCCACTGATGTCCTAGAAACACATGGACATTTGGGGCATGAGTTGACCTATTGGTAGTGCAATAGCTATGTATTGTTGGCAAAAGAATACTTACTCTTTCCCAAAAACGTGGTCAAATTTGCATGTTGATCCTACAATGGTAAATGGAAGGCTGCTTCTCTGCACCAGTAATTCAACTTTATGTGGGAAGTTACCCATTCTCCTGCAAGTACAATCAACCCTTGATGACTTAGCTATCAGTTACCCAGGGTGTAGCTCACCCAGCCATTCCTCCCACAGCCAATCTTTTGGCTGATCCCACCGGGCCTCAGCATCGCAGTCAGATGGACAGAGGGGACAGGTGGATCTCATACCAGGCCTTCTTGTTCCTCATTTTCACGTTTGACAATGGAGGAGGTTTCATTATCTACTGAAGAAGTGGCCATCTGTAAAAACTGTGAGTTACGATAACCTCACTCCAATATGGAACTGGTTGAGTTCTGCCTGCTCCTGGAAAGCTGACCCAGTGGCAGAGCCCCTACTCCAACCTCTCTGATGACTTAGTGACAGGTCATAGTGCCCTAATGTTCCCTAAAATATCAAGACACTTGAATTAAAAATACAGGGCCACCCCCTCATTGCTTAAGCCATATTATAGCTCCATGTACTGTAAAGTCAGGGATGTACTGTGATATTTAAGACCACTAATCTCAGTGGAATTTCAGGACATAGCGTCAGTTGGTAAATCTTACCAGACTAGGGGCTCACTCCTCCTTAGATTGAAGTCCAAATAAAAGTCACCTTTGGCTCAAAGGCCACCTATATATGACAATCACAAATAAATTGTCACAAAATATCAATGATCTGCTCTTGCCATGCTCATAATATAACTTCATGAATTCATATCTTCAGAAATGCTTAATATAATTTAAAAGAGCAAGAGGGGTGAGGCCCTGAGTCATTACTACCTAGTGACATCAGCAGGCACCTCGTAGCTGGAGGTGCAGAAAGTGGGCACATGCCAGCCAGCCCTCGTGCCGAGCAGGTGCCAGCTCTCGTTGTTCTTGTAAGAGCAAGAAGGAGCAGCATGAAAGAAATAATGACTTCATATACTTGAGGATTTCCCCCTTAGATTTTCAGTAATTTCCTTGTAAGTAACGATGGAAAAGAAGAAAACTAGAAAGTCAGAATCATAATAAATAAAATCCTAACACTGCATCCAAATCTTTGGCTGATAAATATCACCACCTCATACCTCCACTTATTTGTACTTAAAATGAAGATAATAGTGAATGTTCTTAAGTACAAAATATTCAATAGATTTAAAAAATGGAATCACTATTGTCATCAACAACAAACCGGATGACTGTTTCATCCACACCTTGATGTTATGTCTGAAGGCAATCAATAGTTACCAAAAAGTAATTATTATGTATCAACTAGGTAATGAGATGAACAGGGAGAAATATAGCAGGAGCACTCGGTCCCAGGACCCCTCCCCTCTGCAGAGTGCGCCTCAACACACAGCGCCCCCCAAACTAGGAATCAGTGTTTCAGCCCAGACATGGTGTCACCCCACCACAGCACCATGAACGCACTGCACTACCAGTAGGTTACTGCTCTTTTTAAGTTACTGCTTTCAAATCCTGAAACATGTCCCTAGTTCTATACGGTCATTCCACTTCCCTGGAAGTCGCTGAGAAGCAGATTAGGACCCGCTAGTGGGTGTTTCGCTGTCTCTGTGGACTCCGCAGTGTTTGGTTTCGGTACCTGAGCTATCTGGTGGGTTCCTCGTAGGCACAGAGCAGCCCCTTCCCTCGCCCTGCAGCTCAATGATGCCCTGGACAACATCCCTTCCTCCTCTACTGCAGCCAAAGTAATCATTGTAACAATGGGATTACTGATACCGCTAAGAAAGGAGTGTCCCAGGGATAGCAATAGGAACTGTCTGCCTCTGGTACAGAATATATTAGTAGTAGGTGAGCGCTCTTCACCCTGAAAGCTTATGCCAGGTTGCATGAATAGAAATTAACATTAAACTCCTGTGGACAAGTAATATGTAGATTTTTGCTGAAATAGACTGAAGCTCATTAAAACGTATTCAGTGCAATGGTAGATAAATATATACAGACTAGAGAAATAATAACTGTGATCTTTTTTTTTACACCATTACTGGAAGCACCCAAACATGAACTGGAGTTCCCTCTGAACAAAACCATCATCAGATCTTCAACGTGTGACCTCTAATCTAGGTGCCAAGCAACACTTACTTACACACCTGAGAAATGCATTGTGGAAGCTGTAATCCTGGACCTGAACCATGAAACAAACGAAAGGGACATTGTGACCAATCAAGCTGATGGAGGAAAAGCACAAGATTCAACATCAACCTGAAGTTAGGATCCCAAAGAAATGCTGAATTTATAGCAAAAAAAAAAAAAAATCAATGACAAATCAAATAACAAACCCAATGAGAATACCTGACATCCAGATCCACGGACGAAGGACAGGGAATAAATGACAGTCTCTAGCTGTGTCACACTATTCCAGTGTTTGAATCCCAATCAGCACCCGTTCGCCTTCACCGACTCGGCTTTCCATGGCGCAGCAGCTTGGTCCTGGTCCCCGCCTCCCGCTCTGCGCCGGCGGCCGGACGCGAACCACGGAAGGGAAGCTGGGGTGCCGAGGGAGGAAACGTTTTTTCATGGAGAACTCAGAAACTGAAGTGTTTATATTCAGAACCAGATGAGCTTCAACATGAATTTGCATCTTGCCTCTGTACCGCTTGCTATTTTTTAATGATAGGAGAAAGCATATCAGTTTATTTTAAATATAAAATATATTGCTATATTACAAAATATATTGTAACTTTCAGTTAACGTTTTGTATCAACTGGTCTTTGGCAGGCCGAGTGTCCGCCTGCTGCCCAGCCGCTGTTTCTGAGTACACATCACCGCTAGCGGTGCCGACCCCAGAACAGGGTCCTCAGACCTGACTATTAGAGACAAAAGAGCATTATTCCAAGCCCAGAAGAATCATTCTACCCTAAATTCTACCAAGCCATTCCAGAAGAGGGTTTTAAAAGCCATCACTCCTTTCGTAGCCGTACGAAGCCAGTTTAATCAAAGTGCAGGCTCTTTCTATGTAAAGCCAAGGCCCTCATTACATGAATTATATGTCTCCAACTCAGCCGACCAGTTTTTCCTTTGTCGGTGTCAGATTTGGGCATAAGGAAGAGTATCATTCTCCGGTGACACAAAAGACTCACAGTTCTAGGCATTGCGATTTTCTCTGAGTCAGAGTAGACATGGGCACTCGGCTGCACCGGGCCCAGCGGGAGCCCGTGTGTGCATGTGCTTTTCTGAATGGCAGTGGCAGCGCCTCGAGGGGAGCAGGGGGCGAGGTGCCCACTGTGTACCCGCAGCGGGGAGCACGGCTCCTAAGGGAATGACGGAGGGGGCGGGACAGCACAGCAAGACCCCACAAGGGCTTCCTTTTCTATTAGTTTACTCTAGTTGGGAGGAAAGAAAGAGCTCAATCTAGATGTTTTCCTTTATTGGCAAAATTGGAGGAAATTCTCTGCTTAAGCAACTATGAAATTCATTGCCCTCCTCCGATCAGCCGAGACACAGAGAATTTCTCCCTTCCTTTGAGTGACAGAGGGGCTAGATGAGAACCAGCTACGTAGGTTATGGAACAAAGATTTCCTGGAAGCTACGGGCCTCCTCCCGAGGAGGGCGCTCGCTCAATAGCATCACTTCGGGGTGACATTATCCGAGTGCAAACCATGTAGCATCAGAGTCGAGTCAACTGAGTGTGCTCATCTCTTCCTTTCACAAACCCTGGAAACACACACAGACAGACTGGCAGTGCAGATCAGCGGGGCTTCTCCTGGGAGAAAGGCTGGAGTCCTCTTAAACTTCCATTTATTTGAGCCGAAATGTACACAAGGCTTGGTCCTCAATGGTGTTAGTTATTCATGTTCCCCGAAGGACAAATATCTGAGTGCCCAGCCTCAACCTGCACATGCAGCTGAGACCGGCCTTGCACGCACGTTGCCCGCACTTGCTCCGATTGAACTGCCTTCCCTCGGGTCTGCACTGCCCCTCTGTTGCACGTAGGCTGAGCTCTACCAAAGCCATGAGAACTCCAGGGCACCTGCTTTCGGCAGGGTTCTCGCCACTGGGTAATGGAAATCAGTTTATTCTCAGTTTTATAATTGACTGATGAATGTACTGGTGGTAATTTATTTGTCTCTTTATATTTTTCTGTCACTAAATAGAACTGAACTGTCTTTTTTGCTAAGAGTCGGACTAAGACTCTTACATCTCTAGAAAGGGAGTGTATTCTAATGTTCCCCTCAAGGTTACTATTCAGTCTAGGTCAAGGAAACCAATGGACATTCCTGACTTGAGGAAAGCAGACGTCTTGACAATGATTCAGGTGTGTGGTTGCTCACTGACCATCGCTACTCAAGGTGTGGGCCGCAGGCCAGCAGCATCAGTACCACCTGGCTCTGCTGGTTAGCAATGCAGGGCCTCAGGCTGCACACCAGACCCACAGCATCAAGTGCGGTGCCTTCGCACGGTCTTCAGTGGTCTGTGGACACAGTAAATACTGAGAAGCACTGGCCTTCCCACCCAGCACTCATGATCGACCTCCTCAGTAATCAGAAAATTGAACCATTTCTTCCTTTTGCAGAATTATTTGATGAAGTACATTGTCCCGTGTGACCATAAGGTTAAAAACAAATCCACCTTAAAATTCTACTTGAGGTCATATAGCTTGGGTGGTGCGCGAAAGAGAGTGTCTTTCTCCAGTCTAATTTTATAAAGCTCGCTTCATAGCTTTGAGCCACCTCAGAGCCCCTGGTCAGGGTTTTCACTGTGGCCAGTGCTGGCAGGTGACCCCTCAGGGCAGGTGCCGGGAAGGTCTGCTCAGCCCAGTGCAGACACAGGGCCCCTTCCCTGGGAAACCCCCTCCCGGCAGCGGGAACTCTCCTCCCAGGAGGAAACTAGGAAGGAGTTAGTCTAACCATCCAGAAACATTCCTGATCTCTTCTTAAACCAACTCCCTTATACATTACAGCAACCAGGGACACTCTGAGGTGAGCAAGGAAAGATAGGAACTGTGATATTGGCGCCAAAATTGATATGTACCCAGAAACAGTTATGTTCTAAATTAATGGCTTTAACCTGTTCATTGTAAAAAGTGCCTTGGACTTCAATCTAAAGAGGTCAGTATAAATATATGTGTGTGTGTGATGTATGTAGGCAGATATTTACATATGTATACATACATAGGTGCACACACATATACCTGCACATTCATATATAATATATACATACAGATATAAACGCTTCATAATATATTATATTGCTGTTTGCAGCTCCATTTCTTTTGTCTGTTATGTTTATTTGTTCAGTGAGATCTTTACATAGAGAGGTTCTATTCAGGACATTGATGTATTTTTTTGTTTGTTTTTTACTTTTTATTAAAAAGGTAAAGGATAATTTAAAAAAAGTCAAGTGCCTGAAGGTTTTTTTTAAAGATTTTATTTATTTTTAGGGAGGAGGGAAGGGAGGGAGAAAGAGAGGGAGAGAAACATTGATCAGTTGCCTCTCACACGCACCCCAACCAGGGACTGCGCCCCTGCAACCCAGGCATGTGCCCTGACCAAGAATCGAACTGGCGACCCTTCAGTTTACAGGATGACGCTGAACCAGCTGAGCCACACATGCCTGAAGGCTTTGAATGGAGCTGTGGTCAACTTTCTCAGGTCACAAAAGAGGAAACTGTTTTTCTTCTGGAAAACATTTTTCTGTTTCAGCAACTTTGTTTTCCCTTGGCAGGAGGGCATAAACAAGAATGGTTAAAGTGATTTGGTAATTTCATTATAATCCATTTCTGTGGTCCCCATAATGCAACAGGAGAGATTTTATTCAGTCTGGTGGCCGTGTCTTTTCAGGCATCAGCATCGGAAAGGCTTTGCCTTTAGATGCTGTGCATGGTTTTGTCAGCACAAGGGAGACTAAAGTTGCAGGAGCAGGGATTGGACCAGCTCTCAATATAGCTTCTCTCCAGCCACACACACAGAAGGATGAGGGGAAGTTCCTTTCACCAGGGGCGCCCCAGTAGACTTTCTGGGGCTCCGCACCCTGTTAGCCGAAGGTCTTCTCTTTCTATGGTGTGACAGCTTGCAAGGGACCATCCTCTCTGGTTAGAAGCCCCCCCAGAACTCCAGGGGAGTCACCAGGTTTTCAGTGCTCTGCTCATGAGCTCAAGGAGGCAGTTTTTCCTTTAAGCCAACTCAATCTTCTCTCTAGCTCCCTGCCCAAGTGGTGACCACGCCCATTCCCACTGTCAATCAGAAGAGACACTTCAAAACAACGGAGGGGACTGGGAAAACAACAGGTCTCTCCAGCCGTCTCCACAGCTGCAGCCACACTCCCGGCCATGAGAGGGAAATCAAGCCCCCCCTGCCAAAATAAAGCCCCCCACCCTCACTTTTCCCAAGAATTTTCCTGTAGCTCTAGGCCAAAATAATAATGATGATAATGATAATAATAATAATAATGCAATTTAGGTGCCTTCAGAAACAATCTCTAATATTTGGGATTTTTTCTAAGTTAGTAGACCCAAAAATGTTTTAAAAAATACATGTAGCTGCATTTCTGCTGCTATTCATTCCTTGAAGCCCTCCTCCAGAAATTCCTTATGATGGATACAATTACCAACTCAGCGATTACCAGGCAAAATTCTTAGTACTTATAAACAATGCCTTTCATCCAAGGACCTCGACTATCAAAAAGTTAGTTGTCACGCAGTGAGGTGAATGACAATATTATTCCAGTTCCTCAAATGGGAGAATTGAGCTAGAGGAAATTGAGCAGAAAATTCAACCTATGTTCTCAGAACATTTGGGGAGTGAACAGAAACTTGGTGGCTCAAATTCTATGGCTGGCCACCTTTGGGTGAGTAAGTGGGTGGGCCACCCGGGAACAGGGCCCCTGGAACCAGTCCCCACTTTAGCAGGGCCGGATCGCCCCGGTATCGATGGCAGTTGAGCCAGGAGACTGGCCCTGTCCACACACAGACACTCCATGAGCTTCGATGCCCAACTCTGCTTTAACAACCTAGGGAGAAAGTGAGAACCGCTCCGCAGGTGAGCAGCTGGCCATCAGCATGCGGTGCATGCTGAGGTGGGCTCGCAGCCATGATCACATACAGGATCAGGCGGTTAAACACCACAGTCACTCCACGTACCTGAGCAGAGGTGCTGAGCCTTTGCTTCCCACTACAATCATCTCGGAAGCTTTTGAAAACACCCCAGTCCCAGCCCTCAGCCCCCGAAGTTCAAAAAGTGGAGTCTGCCTGGCTCCTGGGCATTGTCCTCAAGCCCTGCAGATAGTTCTAGGGGCACCCAGAGCTTGCTGAGTTGAGATTCACCCCTCTGGCTCCCAGCCTGGCAAGTGCTCCCCAAAATGTCTACCCTCCCCTGAGTTGATGAGGAGTGGTGGGGGAGGGGAAGTCAAGGTGAAGGGGGCAAGATTTGGATAAAGATGGCGATTTGCTCGCAGCTCCAGTTTTGGACGCCTGAACCTGTGCTAATTTGCATTCAGGCTCCACAGGCATTGGCAAACAATGCTGCCAGATCATTATTCATTCAGGACTTCTCTGGCTTGCTGCTGCAGCCTTCTGCTTTCTCCTGGCACTCGGTCTGCCTGGGCTTAATGTCTTTCTTTGGCCTATGCTTTGGGCAAGGATAGGGGGAGGCCATCCCGACATTTTTCATTAGGCTAAGAACGTTGAGATTAAAAATGTCTTTGCTAGCAGGTGTCTGACTAAACCTAACACTAAAATAGTTAGGTAACCTGCCAGGCTACACACATTGGTCTTTTCCTAACTATATTTAACCATTAAATAAAGTGTTGATTTCAATCTTAAAGAAAACTTGACCCATTATTACATTATTCCTGGCTGTGAAAGCTGCAAAAACAGGACGTTAGGACTCAGCAGAGGGTCTGGTTCTCTGAACCGAATTCAGTTCTGCTGAACTCAGGGCCTCCTGATGAAGCCCCCCGCCTGCAGTTCAGACTGAGATCCGGCCACTGGGGAAACTCAGAAACTCCTCTGGCATCTGGGGGAAAGCCCTTTTGCGTGCCACGACCCTTACCTTACACAGAGGGGATGGAGGGCCAAGAAAAGGGATTGGCCCAAAACCAAGCGGAGAATTGGGGCAGAAACTGGACGGAGCGTTGTCATAGTGTTGAGAGACCTTCTGCGGTGCTGTATGGAGAGTGGAGGCCTGCCCACAGCCTTGCCCTGTTCTTCCTAGTTTCATCAGTTTTGCAAATGTTATATAAAAGCAAAAGGTCCCTGCCTCCCCTCGACACGTACACGTTCACGCACATGCAGAGACACACACACACTCCACACATTATCAGTCTCTCACCGAACAGAGGTGCACATTGTGATTGGCTGAATTAATTCATGTGTTTTATATTCCAGATGCATTGATCATTTTCAAATTTATCTACTTGCCTTTAGTTTAAAGAATTTAGAGCTAATACTTGCAAATGTACCAACCACCCCCACACTGGTTAGGAAACATTAAATTAGATTATTAAAATAATGTAATTTTATATCCAGCATTAAAGAGGATTATGCTAATGCTGGTCAAGGTTATTAATCTTTATTTCTGTCACTACTGCAAATAGTACATGAAGATTAGCCAAAATTAGCTTAATCTGTTTTTTGTAGAGTGAATTTAAAATTTTCACTTTATTTTTTCTGGGGACAAGTCACACTTAATAGCATCTCTTAAGATGCAGTCCTGTCCCCTAGAAAACCAAAGGTGGAAAACAAATGCAGTATGTTCCTACTGCCTACAGGCAATTTCCTCTTCACTGAGGCAAGTTTCTTTCCAAATCTGTTCTACCTCCTACTTCCAACAGTGGGGTATCACTTAAAGCAATCAAGTACTTCTCAAGGAAGAATACGTGCGGCAGCAGGGCACCCACACCCCAGCCACTCGCGGGGAAATGTCAGGCCCTCTGCGGGCTCCTGTGCTCCGTGTGGCTCAGTTGCCCTTTCTCTGAACACCCTCTTCCCCTCCTACCTCTTGAAAGGAGAGGGTAGAACACGGCTCAGTCAGAACTTCGGAATTTAGGAATTCTGATGAATGCTCGGGATTTTCTAGAGAATTTTTAAGAACGACAATGCGAATTTGGGGACCTAGGGCCCTGTTTAGTTTGGGTTTAAATGAGAAGATGATCATCCAGCTTTGTCTGAACGTCTGCAAGAGAAACCGACATCCTCGGGTCTTACGCCAGGAACGCAGTGACAGAGCTACAGAGCACGTTTACTCATTCCCGCCCCGGCATCCTTTCCTCCAACTCCGGGCCAGCATTTGGTGGATTCCCGCTCCTCCGTCTCCACCATGCATTTGGGTGGGATCGATCCTTCTTCTTGCAGACCCATGGTTGGCCATGACGGGCTTCAGACAAATAGAGAATTTCATTAACCCTCACTACACAGTGGACACATGGCCCAGCCCAGGCCAACACAGGCAAAGGACCCCCAGAGCCCAGAGCATGGGCAGCAGCTACCAGAAAAGATGGTCTTCCCGAGGAAGGTGTGGTATAAGGAGTTTGTCAGGAACTGACGGGACTGCGCAGTTTCATGAGGGGAGAGGGTGGAGTTGACAGGGGCCACCCTGCAGAATATGAGGATGAAACCAAGACTACAGAAAACGGAGAGGAAAAGGAGAGAGAAATGAGGACCTTGGTGACATCCTTTGAGCCACTGAATTTTCTAATTGCCTAAGCCAGTAACTTTGCTGTAGCAAAGCCATTTGGCAGTGGATTTTCTGCCACATTCAACATAGAGTTCTGGTGGAGAACCACCAAACTTCCGTACCCTTTTCTGATTTCCTGGAGGAGTAGTCAGAATGAAAATTAAAGGGATGTGCTTCTTCAGTAGTTCTGATATTAAAGGTTTAAAACGCAAAAACTAAATGGAGCAACAAGAAAATAGGGAATGCCAAAATGCACGGTAGGGTGTGTCTTGATCACCTGGGTGGGAAGGTGATGGAGGCAGGAAGAGCCACAGAACGAGATTCTGTTAAATGAACCAAATGGTTCTTATGAGAAGGGAATGAAAAGGCGGCCAGGCCAATGTGGCTCAGTTGGTTGGGCATCATCCAGCAAATGGAAAGGTCGCTGGTTTGATTCCCAGCGGAGACACACGCCTAGGTTGCGGCATAGGTCCCAGTGGAGGTGCGTACCAGCACATACAGAAGGCAAGTCAGTGTTTTTCTCTCACATCGATGTTCCTCTTCCTGCCTTTCTCCCTCTCTCCAAAATCAAAAATAAAAATGAGCCCTGGCTGGTATGGCTCAGTAGATGAAGCACTGGCCTGCCAACCAAAAGTTGCCAGTTTGAATCCCA